ACAACCAAATACGGACTCTTGTACCATGCACTATACAATATCCTGGAATAAACGGGGACCTCATCCTCGTCTCTCAAGCTTCTTCTCTTTCTCAAAGGGACCTTGCCGTAGCTCCCGCCATAGTCAGCTCTCAACAACCAACACTTTTAGTTGCTAATCCAACCAACCAACCTCAAACGTTGTATGCGGGTATGCACATCGCAAAAGCGACTATTCTTTCTAAAGAACATGCAAAAGAGGACAACGAGGAGCACGGTCGAACCCCGGTAGCGGTAACCTGCGCAACGCGCAACAGACATTGTGGATCCTTCGTATAGAATCGACCTCGACAATTGCGATCTCACACCTGCTCAGCGCGACCAACTACGCCGTTTACAGACAGCTATGCTGACGTTTTCTCGCGACATCGGCAGCTGCACCGCAGGGAAAAACCATATCCATACCACGGACGACCCACCTGCAAAAGTTCGACCGTATAGGGTCCCCGTAAAATATCGGGAGGAGATTCAAAAACATATTAACCTACTCCTAAAGGCTGGTGTCATGAAAGAGTCACAAACCCACTGGGTTCACAACTGGTAGTGGTTCGAAAAAAGGACAACTCGTTACGCGTCTGCCTCGACATGAGACGTCCAATTAACGAGGTCACCTGAAACCCTCCCAGACCCATACCCCATACCGCGCATTGACGACGTGTTGGAGAAAATAGGGGGCAATAGCTTTTACACCACATTAGACTTAGCCAGTGGCTACCTGCAGCTACCTCTTTGACGAAGAAAAGCTATAAATGCGGCGTAATCACTGAAAATAAGATCTACCAGATGACCCATCTCCCATTTGGCTTGAAATCAGCTGGCAGCTATTTTGCGCGCATCATGTCTAAAGTACTGGGCGGCCTAGAAGGGAACGTTTTGACCTATATCGACGACATCCTGGTGTACGATAAAGATTTCCAGAATCATCTAACGTCTCTCGAAAAAGTCCTTTTACGCCTACGCCAATTTAATCTCAAAGCGTCACCTAAAAAATGCGTATTCGCCAGAAAACAAATCACTTTCCTGGGCCACCTCATCAATAAGGACTCCTATTTGCGTGCGGAGGCTAACACGCGTTCGGTTCGTGAATTTCCCACTCCAACCAATACAAAAGAAGCTAAACGCTTCCTTGGTATGGTCGGATTTTTTCGCAAATTCATCCCAAACTTTGCGAATATAGCAGAACCCCTTACACGACTAACTCGCAAAAGCAATAAATTTCTATGGACTGTAACTCAAGAAGCTGCATTTCAGGAGCTACGCGACGCACTGTTAAGGAAACCTATTCTCGGATACCCGGACTACGACAAACCATTCCATATATTCACGGACGCTAGCACCGTCGCTCAAGCTGGAGCTCTCATGCAAGAAGAACAGGTATCTCCACGACGCTAGGACGCCCATCGATGGCTATCCACTACAACCTATTCATTTAACTACTCCCCGACCCCGCTACTGATCCATCGCCTTGCCTTCAAACTTTCACTCCTCTCTTTTCAAGCTTCACTCCATCCTCTAACCAACGTTGCCATTTCCTTTATTCCTATATAATGTCTTCCATTTGCCGGTTTCTCTTCGTATTCGTGGCGCATATCGCATAGCAGTCGCCGCTTACCGCATACCTACAGTAACAGCTTTCAGGTAAAATGTCCGGTGTTTCGGGCTAAGACAAACCCGTAATCAATTTCGACGAAGCTAGCGAGGAACAGAGCGTTGCCTCATCGAAGGAACCCTCGCTCATACCATTTCCGGGTGCACCTAGTACCTCTTGTGGTGATAGTTTTTCCAACTCATTTCACCTTCGTGTTAATCATTTTCACTTCGCTTCCTTCCCATCATATTACACCTCCCTATTTCAGCCTAAGTCGACGTCCCCTGAGCAGTCCCTCATGGACACGCTCATGGACGAGCTGCCACTCGAGGAAGCGTTCCAACTCCTATACGGAAGCGAGCCGGGTGACGATGATAGTCACATGGTCGTTTCGTATGAGGACTCGTCAATCAGTAATGAGCCCATTGCCTCTCCGGAGGGATCGGCGACAAATATTAGGGTGGTAAAAAAGTCCTGAGCCGTTTGACACTTTTTTGTTCTTTGCTTTTTTATTCCACGTAGAATGGAATCTACCCAACAATATAATCACCATTGCTACCCACTACAGAGTCCCACCTAATGTGCAGTTCAGCGACTTCCTTCTCCCAGAACAGAGCAGACTGAGAGTCAAAGAAATCGCTGACCGCTCTTCCAACTTCTTTACCTTTGGTGAATTCTTTCTTCGCTAGGGATCCCTTAAGGGGATAGAGTAAGTGATAATCAGAGAAGGCAATGTAAGGGGAATAGGGTTGATGGGGAACCGCGTCCCAGATCAGCTCTTCCAATTCTGCACGGGTCTCTTTAGCTATGTGGGGCCTGGCGTCATCGTGGAGTAGGTGGACAGAAGTTCGTCTCGGTCGTTTTTCTTGAACAGCGTCCGCTAGTTTCTGGAGCTGACTGGCGTAAATGCTGCCGGTAGCGGTATGTCTTTACGGGAGCATATCATAGTACAGCATTCCTCACGAATCCCAGAGGTAGCAAAGGAGACAGCTTTTGGGGTGAAGGTCCGATTTTGCTTGTGTCGGCAGGCCCTCTCTTCGAGGGAGCCACACGGCACCGTGCTTGTTAGAATCGTATAGGACCCCACTCTCATCTCTCGTAATCACGCCTTCCAAAAACCCCTTTCGGTGCGGGCAAAGAAGGAGAAACTGACAAATGGGTACCCGCCTGAACCGCGTGCTATCGGTCAAGACATGAGGAATCCATTGAGTCACCACTTTCCTGTGGCGAGGTCGTGAAGGGGACCGAGGACTGTGGGATGGGTGCACCCGAGTCTTATCACAAGGCTGCGGGTGCTAACGTCCGGATCCTCTTCGACAGCGCCGAGAACGGTGGAGTCTTCTACCTTTTGTGGGCTTCCCAACCTTGTCTTTTCTTTGAAAGCCGTGTCTCCTCCCTCGAAGCCTGCGAACCAGAGCTTGGCACTGATGATGGAAGTGGTGTCCCTTCCCAATGCGATGCTGATAATGTTGACGGTTCCCACTGCTCCTGTGCCGCAGCGCCATTCATTGAAGATGATCGCTCGAAAGTGTTCTTGTGGAATCACCATCATTATTAAAGTTAAAGAAGGCAACCCGGCAATATATACCTATTGCGGAGAAGTATGATCGACAACGATAGTCTATCACGTAGCAGATTCTAGGTATCGACCAATAAGCGAAAGTTCTGGAGCTTTCAAAAAATCGGCTCAGGACTTTTTTACCATCCTAATACAATTTTACGAGCCTCAACCAGCTCAGCTGAAAATGTTAGGGACGCACCCAGTCCTAAAAGGTCTAAACTTGAACTAGAGCCACATGTTTTAGACCAGGTCGACTCCATAACGCAGTATGGGCAACAACAAGTGTCCCAAGAGCCACTTATAGGGGACGAACCCACCTCAGGCGAACTCGCAATGAGGCCCCTTCCAATACCGCTGGAGCCACGTTAGAGGGTAGAGCGCTTTACAAACCATCCGTGGCAAAGCCTTTTGGAGCCCAAAATCACTCCAAAAATTTCGTCGCATTACGATCCGGAACTTCCGGCCTCCAAATTTGAGCGCATCACAGCTGCAGGGTACAGCGGGTTGTCACCTTTTGTGCCGCACAGCGGCGTCTTAACATCCAGGGGTCGGCCATGCTCCATTTTGGAGGCAGTCGGACCGCGCGCAATTGAAAGCTTCCGCGACCGCCATTCGTATCTGGAATTGTTTCAGAAGCGCTTGGAGGGAGCCGAATTTCCTGAGCGCCCAAAGGCTGATCCGGCTCTGCCGCACGAAATGCTGCGCTATATTAAAGGTCTGTTCATCCACGAGGGCATACATCCAGTGCTGTACCGCGTAAAATCGCTTTTTGGCCAAGGAGCCCGCCTGGAGTCCGTCCACATGGAGGTTCCATTACCGGACCGTATTGATCTTCATACGATCACATTAGATCAATTCGCGGTCAACGTTCTCACGGAGAAACGCCACGTGGATATTTTCCATCTCCTGATTGGGGATTTGGTATGGGTTTACTCCTTGACCCCATCCAAAAAATTCCTTAAGGAGGGTGTTCCATACCCGGAAACAATCGAGCAAGGCGTGCCACCATCGTAGAGCGACGATGTGGCGCGTCGATCGTTTTGGTCTCATCCATCGGGACCTCAAGGAAACGCTGGGTTACGTAATCACCATTGCGTCAAAAGCGTACCAAACCTTTCCAGGTATGCATGAAGGGTCACCGCACCGTGGTGACGGTTAATAGAAACCGTCTGAATTCCGACGTAGACTTCACAAATCTACAGCCGAATTCGTTCATCACGGCGCCTTTTCGCCCGCGTCAGCTGGACTACATGCTATTCGCCTGCGAACCGACACCGATCGCGTTCAATCAGCTACGCGAATTCCTGGCGGATGTGCAATATTTCCCTGG